AAGAAACCACTGGTAAAATATTAACATTGACAAAGAGCATCTGGGGTGAAACCCCAGCAAAATTTAAGCTAATTGGAGTTTTGCCATTGACCTCAACAAAGCTAAGGTTTCACATTGAAACCATTGGCAAAAGGACAATGTTGGCAAAATTAACGAACTGCACTTTTTCCTCATTATTTTGCTTCCTGACTATACAGTGTCAGACAATTAATCTCTTTACCCAGTGACGGTCAGGATCAAAGTGATCCTGATTTGGCTTATAGTAATGTATTTTGATCTTCCATAATTAATTTTCAAATTAAAACCAAATTAATTCTAATTGAGCGTGTCTGCATAGATTTAACACAGTTTAAGCCAGTTTGAGTTCACAAACTTACTTCTGTAAGGAATCCTGTGTAATGAGGATATTTGCTGCAGATGCTGGTTTTATTGAAAAATGCATAGGTGTTCAAAAAATATGTTAAACGAGGATTATTTTGAGAAACCTTGGATACAAAGTTAAGCAACCTGCCCGTGTGGTATTTGCGACTGCACTTCTGTGGATAAAGCAAAAGTGTTTGAAAAGGTTATGTTTTCTCCTGCTTAACCTTCACAAGACTCACAGAGTAATATAGGTTCTTTCAAAAATCCCATGCTTAAATGTTTAAGAATGGGCTTTGATTTTTTTTTTTTAACTACAGCTTTCATGTGTAAATAAGGTCACAATATACTTAACATACTGAAAATTTAAGCAACTTTTTTACAGTGGATATACAAATTTTGGTTTAAGTTGATGTGATTTTTATCACCAAGGAGAAAAAAAATAGTTATAATCCATGATGCTGCCAACCATATGTACAGGTTTAACTTAAACAGATTTAGTTTAAACTTCACTTTAACTTAAACTCTAACAGGTTTAACAGGTACACTAATAAGCTGAATAAACTTAGCTGCTGAAGTGTTCTCAAGCTGAGACAAGTATTTTGTATGTTTTTCCTTCTAGAAGAATTCAAACCAGCTTACCTATAGTAGCATTAAAAATATCAAACTCTTCTTAACTTGTATGGTAATTTTTGTTCAGAGCATATAAATAAGCTTTTCAGATCAGTTTCACTAATCTTCAGGCTTTCCCCGTACCACCCTTAAATTGAGTGATTTAAATTGTCCTGAACTAGGTAACTCCCATCCTACAACATCTAATTCTAGGAGGTATTAGGGAGTAAGAGGGGAGGTATTGTCTCATGCTTCTTAGGAACTGCAGTAGTTGTGGTGATTAAAATAACTAATTTTTTTTTTTTTTGATACTACACTTGTGCTTGATTTTAGAATTGCCCTCTGTGTTGATGGTCAAAATAGATTTTGCGTTAATAGCCACAATCTGTTGGGAGAAGAAGCTATTAAACAGAGACACCTTCAGTTACTTGGTTATGAAGTTGTACAGGTAAAGTCCAAAGACAGTGGCTTGCTTTTGCTCTGGCTAACAAACTAAGTGAAAAAATGATTATTTTGTAATACTTAAAACTGTAGTTGCAATTACTTCGCAAGGCAGATGTAGTCTTGTCCTTTCTATATCATGTTCTCTCTGGCTAGCTTTTGCCTCTTTGAGGGTGTTACAGAAATTGCTTTTTCTTCCTTGGATCAATTAGCGTGTTCTGCTTGTGTTTTCTGCCAAATAGTGGCTGCTTGAAAGAGTACTTCTCTGCAGTGATTAAGGTTCAAATCTTGACTTAAAGGAAAATGTTGTCTAAGAGTTCAGTAGAACTGGGATTTGTAATTAAATACTTTTTAAAAAAGGTCTGAATTTGGAGTTTAAAAAGAGGAGTTAAAAAAAAAGGAACTGCTTTGTACTGTAAATAATATTTTCACAACAGCATATTTCCTTTATTTTGCCTGTTGAATTAATAGGGTTATTTTTATCTTTAACCATACTTTGGACCAGAACAGTTACTTTTAGATTTTTGAGGTTTTCTTTTCCATTTATAATCACTTATCACATAAGCCTAACTCTGTTATGTTTAACTTAGTTTGAATTGTAATGGATATCACTCTTTGTTTTACAATAATCTCTATTCAGGTGATTTACAGATCAATAATACTCTTAGGATTAAATGTTTAATTTTAAAACCAACAAATCTTTGATGTGTAATTTTATATCTGCTTAATGAACATCAGTCTTACCCAGTTGTTTATTAAAAGGTATTTCCAGCAATCATTTTTGTTTTGTTTCCAGATTCCATTTTTTGAGATAGAGAGTCTACAAAATTGCAGGAAAATGGCAGAATATCTACACAAAAAAATCTTTCCTCATACGTATGAACTCAGCTGCTGACACTGGAGAATACCACTAAATCACAGGTTGACCTCCTATATTATAAAGTGTAAATATTGTGCATGGAAGAACAATTCTGTTTTCTAAATAACTCCACCTAAGATAATTTGAGCTTCTGAATGTGAGACTTTCCAATATTTGGAACAATTGACGTGTAAAGAGTAATAAAGAACAACATATTTTCTTAAGTTTTGTGTAACTATTTATTACAAGTTAACAGATGTAAGTGCCAGTCAGTGCTGCGTTTCCTTTGCATTTTCACTGGTTCTAACTCACAACTGCAAATGGACAGATGTGACTATTCAAGGATACTGGCTGGTGCTTAATGTACAGAATGTGCCATGCTACCTACCAATCAGGGCTTTTCTTGACAGTATAAAAAGAAATTGTGCAGTTTACTCATAGCTGTTGGTGTGATTTCCCAAGTGTTTCATAAAACTAAAATTTGCAGTAGTTGCACAAGCAGTATTGGTTTATTGCTCATAGTTAAGAGATGCAGAGTCCTGTTCACTAAATACCAATGCCTTACAGAAAATGAGAGCGTTTTTATTAAAAAGATTTGCTTTATTTTGTAAAAGAACAGCTGTCACAGGGTAGTGGACTTGCACAGCTGTCTCTGTTGGGGGCCACCCTAGGTTCTGGGTATGTACTGTTTGTAGTTTTGTCTTTGGTGGCAGTTTTAGCTAGACTGGCTAAATGGGGTCATGTATGTGCTCCAGCGTTCCTTCAGTTTACAGCCTGCCATTCAAGCCTAAATTGAAACTCATTACGCCCTGAAGCTCCAAAGAGTTATGTCCTGTGCAGTCCTTTTTTACGTACGAGTATGAATTCTGGCAGAAGGGTGGAACTGAGAACTGGAACCAGTAACCACTTCAGCTGGAATAAGCATGCCCTACCTTGGGTCAACGTGTTGCTTTACAGATGGACAAAGGGAAAATAACACAGCCTTAGTTCCAATCACGTAACGTATACTTGATGAACTGCTGTGTAAAACACATTTTCAGGTTAGCTTATGCATCCTGTCCTGTGTGGAATTATTATTTATGAGTAGCAAAGCAGAATTCCCAGCATTGCCTGGTTTCATTTTAACTATTATAATTTGATACAAAAAAGGTGAAACTTTTACATCCTTGAAGTTCTATATATTTCACCAGTAGATACAGAACGTGGCCATTTTTTCCTTCCAAGGCTACTGTTAATAATTTGTGAGTTGCGGGTGTCCACCAATTGTCCCAACAATCCCTGGAGATTTTTGGATGCAAAATCCAGATCCAAAATATGATTTACATTGTGTCACGGTGTGCATTCTGTTCATGTTAATTTGTTGCATGTATAAAACCCTTACTCACAGTAGTATGTCAGCACTGACAGGTGAGGGAGCACCAAGAGGTAATGAGATACTTTCCAACAGTGTAATAGGAAGCTTACAGCACATCGCTAACCTAACAGTTGTCATCCTAGCAAAAGAGAAATTGAAGGAGAACGACTGAAATGTCTTTGCTGACATTTATAAGGAACTTCTCCCTAATACAGAAGAAATCGTCAAGGTATTTTTTTGACACTAACTGAGCACTGAAGGGAAAAGTCAACCACTCAGAACTGAATGAGAAACAAGTAGTAAGAGGAACAACCCGTGAAAAGCCTTCAAAAGTGAGGAGCGATGAGAAGGGACTGAAAGAGAAGGGGGTGACACAAGCAAAGAAATCAGAGAGGAAAACTGATACTGGTGTCGATTACTCGTGCCTTTCTCCACTGTGGAAGTGAGCTGGTGATACTTATTTCTCACACAGGCCAGAAGGTGGTGGTGTTCTCAAACAGATTTGATTTCCCGTAGTTTTTCAAACACAGATGGTTTGTAAATATAGTAAGACTACTTAAAAGGAGTAATTTGGACTGACTGTCCCAAACTAAAAATAACCTGTCTAGAATATGGCCATATTACATCTCACTCTTCACTGCTATACATTTGGTACTGATTTTTGAAAAAGCATTCTGGTATTGTTAGAAAACATTTCCTTCTCACTTTGTTCTTACTGTGATTCATTTAATGCTGCTGGATTTGTTTAACGAAGTATTTATTGTTGAAAAGGAATGTAGCAGCTACTGCCCTCTTGTCCCTAGCTCATTGAATATAGAGGAACTTGCAGGTCATGAATAATGAAAGTAATAAACACCTCTCAGAATGGGCTGCTCTGTGTGCTCTGCTTCTCACATCATGCCAAACAAGTGCTATTGATTGCCTAATTTATGACTTATCCAAGTCCCAGATTAAGAAGTTCTTTGTTTTTATTATTTTTCACTAGGAGACTGACTGTGGTCACAGATGATACAGGTTTCCTATGTGTAAGTACCTGACAAACCTCAGTGTCAGTCAAAGCTGTGGTCTTCCAGTCCTTGTTCTGGTATGATCAGTCTGGCTGTTGTTCCTTTCTGAACAATACTGTCTCAGCTTTAAACAACAGCAGGATCAATGGCTCTTGAGAACCAAACTGATGCATGCCCTGCAGGAGATGTTCCTCCTCCTGAAATTACCTTATAACTTTAGTACTGGATTCAGTGAGAATACAAGGCACTAAATGTTTAAGCAGGTTTAGACATTTACTCTACACATGCTTTTTAAATGACTACTGCTCAAATCTTTGTGGTTTTTTCATCCTTTCTACCAAACTATTTAGTGCTTGTTCTCCTAGTATTACTTCTTTTTTTCTTTTTTTCAGCATTGGATACAGAACCAAAGATGATTTTTCTTGTGACACTCTTGAACAGATCAATCCCTCAGACACCATTCATATAGTGAAAGTCAGTGAAATGGATGTCTGAAATCCAGATTTTGTCTATTTAAATGCTAAGTAGTCAGAAGTTCCCTTTAACTTAACTTCCACTTGAATTCTACTGAAACTGCTAAGCACTTCTCTAAGTCAGACCATTTCTTTACTTGCCTATTTATGGGTAAGCACGTCCATTTTGGAAACTTTGGGTTGAATCCCCAATTCAGCTGTTGTGCAGATAAAATAACACCTAGCAATTTTGTAGCAACACTGTAAGGATTAAGAAGTCAGTGACCTCTGATAACCTTGAGGAGCAAGCTCACTTAAATGTTAAGTCTGTGAATAGTTATGTAGAAGCACTGCCTAAAATAGCAGAGAGACAGCTGTTGACCCAACAGGTCTTATTTCCAGTCTTGCTACCTAAAATGTTCAGCTCTTGCTGATGCTCTTCTTCGTGAGATTTTTATGAGACTGTAAGGAGAAGACATGCATTTGCAGTAGCAGGAAGAAAAGTACAGCTGCTATTTATCCCATTTTTAATCCAAATCATGCTCATTAACTAAAAGGTAGAGGAAAAGGCAAAAGCACCATATTGCTTTTTGATGTGAGGTGGGGTTTTTTCCACATAAATGTTGCTGGTAATGACAGGTACAAGAGACTTAGCATGGATCCAGGCTTGGAGAAGGTTTTTCCAATAAGCAGGTGATGCCATTTTTCCTGTAGAATTCTGCCTGCACATGATTAATCCTTGCATGATCTCTGATCAGCTGCTCTATAGGCTTATTTATGCGTCTCCCATACTCTGAAGATGACAAAACAGCGACAGGTCTTGCCATTTCCTGTGAAAATATAAAATTCTCCTTGTAAGAAAATCACAGAGCGAATACTTGGCAGTTATCTACTGCTAAATATGCTGTGGCCAGGGGCAAAATAACAGACAGAACTGTACAGCATCTGCTATACGGATGTATATTTATTTAGCAGTGATCTGCACTCTTACTGTTCCATCCCTGACCTAGTTTTTTATGTATATTAATAAACCATGAATGTATGACAAGATGATATGGAGCTGTGCCATAAGTTACTGTGGACTGATAATTTTTTACACACTCACATACATGCACACACAGAGGTGATTACCATGTGGTTACTGGCAAACTAAATGCTGTTACTGGAAAAGTGGCACAGATTTTATTTTCATTCTTATTTTTCTTGTACATTGACTTGCATGATTCATTTGAAAAATAGGAGAGAGTTAATTTGTATCCCCTGTTACAGGAACACCTACCCTATTTGCACAATTCAGTGAAACCACTGCATGAAAAAAATCAAAGCCTAAAGAAAAACCCTGAGCAACCACTAGTCCATGCAAGCTTTCCCTGAAGGACATAAAGCATATACTACTGTATTTTTGCACAATGAAAGGTTTTACTAGAAATGCTTGTAGCTGTAAGATTACAGAAATAACTGCTCTGCAATGATGGGAAGTGGACTTGGTGGAAAATAACCTGCCCAAGGAAAGATTATTTTAAGCTTGTTCTTAGTAAACTGCACTGTAAGTGACTGTGCAATCACTCTCTGCAATCTGCAGTTCCTTTCTGTGCTACAGCAATGGGGGGCTCTGGAGTCAGAAGGGAAAGACAGGATTTGTTTGTTTTTCTTCCCCTAGCCAAAGGTATCAGGCTGCTTGTGTGTTTGCACACTGTCTAACATGGTAAGCCTTGGTCCCCGATGTGTTTACTTAGTCTTACGATATAAATAATATCTACAAGGAGAATCAAAATGCGGATGCCACACCACAGTTCAGGTGCAAACAAATGACCTCTTGCTAAACAGATGCAAGTCTGAGCCATATCAGCACTTAACGATAGAACCGGTGAAGCACATGAGCCCCTGCATTTCCTGTGAGGATGCAGGTGGGAGCACAGACCCGAGGGGTCTCATAGCAGGGCAGTCAGATGTGAGACATTTCCAGACTCATGGACAAAAGTAGACCTGAGATTCTTGGGAAGATGCTGGAAACACTTTTTTCAAAAAAAAAAAAAAACAACAGAAAAGCCCACTCCAAAACAACCATTCATCCCCCAACTCTCCCCCTACCCTTCCTGCCTACCTTGCTCCACCCCATTAAAAGCTATTCAGTACACCAACTTATAACCCCACCAGAACAAAAATCAAGTCAAGAAGAGTGGCAGGCAAGAAATAAGACCATTTCCTCCCCACCCCCAGTTGTGGATAAATGTTGAAAAAGGAGAAATGACATAATCTTTGTACCATCAAGAAAGACTTTGCCAGCGATATAGGGTTTACAGTGCTAACGATGGGCAGCAGTATGTAATTCTGATAGTTTGCGTTCCCTTTAAGTAAACGAGATTCAGTTTTCAGCATCCTTGGTAGCACAGCACTGACTGTGCACAGTGGCATTTCATCTTTGCGGGTTCAGCATTCAGCAGACTTCAGATTTTCCAACAGTTGGCTGGGAAGCATCCCGCTACACGCCTTTGCAGCGTGTAATTCTAGCACTGTTAAGGCTTGAAATCAGCAATGGCAGCCTTGTGCAAACACTCCGCTGCAGTCACTCTGCTACGTGTAGCTAAACCGAGTATCTGTGACTGTACTGTTGGATTCCCTGGGTGCACCCAGGCTCTCTGCAGGAAATGGAGGGCTTGCCTGCAGTGGTTTGTTTTTTTCCAGTTCAAGGAAAGGAGTGTACTGTGGTGGATTCAGCATGTCTCCTTTCAGTGTTGTATTAGAAAGAAAGACACCGATTGTGGCCTTATTTACCATGTTTTATAATATAGTTGTTGTTATTATTATTATATAAAGTCTGTGAGGGCCACTGAGGTACTTAAAGAGCAGGAGTTGAGTATGTGACCTGCACTTAGTTATGGGTAAGTCTGGTGTTGGGTGTCATCACGTGCAGGAGGATCATGTTGTAACATTTAACAGCTGTGAGTTTGATGTGTCTCCATGCTAAGTAAAGAGCTGGATTAAGGGACACCTGTTCAGGCAGAGTCCCTTGAGTGCACTGCCCAGCAGAGCTGGTATGAATTCTGGCCCATACGTGTTCGCTTTAGGAAGCAAACTGGTCGGAAAGTGAGTTTTGCTGATACTGAAAGGACACAAGAGCTCAGGAAGAAACCTTAACTCTGCATTGATAAACTGTTTCTACACAAATTTCCAGCTGGAGGTTGGGCTCGGTATTGGGGGAGGGGGGTTGGCTTTGTTTTGTTTAAATAAAAAGGCTCATTTTTAATTGGAGTAGTCATTTACATGGCTTTTGGCCTCACGCAGATTTGCAGTTGAGTTACTAGGCATGAGCAGGTGATAGTAATGGGCACTCCTGGGATTCCTTTGGGAGCACTTAATACTCCCTGCACTGTCTGACAGAGTTGAAGGGCATTATGGCTATGCACTGAAATGTCTGGCATATACAGCTGCTAGTGAGAGGAATCACAAGCAGTGGCCTTTGTCCTAAAATCTCAACAGTTTTATTACACAGCAATTACAGTAATTTTAACTTTTGTCTCTCTCTTCCTTCTTCCATCTCTATCATATATAATCACCAACACGGCCAGCCATTCTTAGCCTACTCACCTCTTTACATCCAATGAACCCATCAGGATTTTGAGGCCATTAACACACAAAGGTTGCACTTCATTTGGTTTTTGACAGCCTCTGCCTCTGTGTGTGTGTGTGTATATAAATATAAATATATATATACACACACTTGTGTATGTATATTATTCAGATGCTGCATGGAAAAATACATATTTTTATATATGTATATATATTACAGTATTTCTGTCTTCAAGGCAGCTGTTTAGAAATATGGCTGCATACTTCCTTAGCTATCAGGCTGCCAGATTCCTCTGGCCTCGAATGCTTTGCCCAGCCTTTTCCAGGCACGTCCATGGTCTTCTGATTGACCCCTCCTTTGCACTAGCTCCCTATGAATTTCCTTCCTGCAGGGCAACCTGGTGTAAGTTTGCGTAACAAACTCACCAGCTTCAGAGGCTTGGGCTCTCTCAGCAAATGCTGGCATGGGAGGGTGGATGTCAGAGGGCAGTGGCTGAGTCAGGACCCCTGAATCCAGTCCTCTCAGGGAGAAGAGTTTTCAAGCATCACAGAAACAGCTGTACGACCACCTGCTCACCCAGCTTTTGAGGGCCACAGATGGTTCAGAAGTCACTCTCAGTGACCCTGCAGCTCTGTAACAGAGGGTTTGCCTTGCTGTGTGTATCTCTTTCCCCATGCTTTAACTTGCATTTGGCTTTTCACAGGATGTTAAAGAGCAGGAGCTAATTCAGGTGTCTTCACTGGCTAATGCTTTTTCCTAAACCTCGAGGCTGAGGACAATGATGTCCTCCTTCCGATTCCTTTGATACCATATAGGCTGTATTATAAAGGGTAAAACAATGGCTATAGTCTCCAGCCATGTCAAAAAGTACACAATATCTTTAAGAAAGATAATTATGAAATTATCAAAGGGTTACCTCCTCATTGATGTTAAGACCACGACTCTTTGCATGTTCTCTGTCACATCGGTGAAGATTTTTGTTGTAACCCTCTGGTCTTTTAAAAATGGAATCATAATTGGAAACATCTCCTGTCTTGAGAAAAGGGGAAAAAATGGCTAATTCGCAGTATTGCTTAACTTTACAGGTTACAGAATATATGTAGTCTAATCAATACTTAATAACTCAATACTTAATACTTAATAATTAATAACAGTGCACATACTGCATCAGATGATGGCAACTGTAATAATTACTGAGCTACCATTAGCAAGTTTGGGTCACTCCTTTGGAACAGTCTGCAATAAAAACACCTAATGACGTGTGGTATCTTTTTAAAGTCTGTTCAGCTCTGAAATTTCCCTTGTGGCAATTTACCTCAATTTTTCCCTGTAATCTGCTGTAACTTTTGGAAATTTAACTGCTTTGTTTGTTTATTTGTTTTACTGTTCTGAACTTTATATAAGTTCATAAATTTGTCAAATGATCTGGCACTGTAATGTAAAAGGAAAGCAGGCAGTTTTATTTGGAATGAAAAAGACAAAGGTATCCTGCAGCGGAATCACCATTGAATTTCTGATTAAAGCAGAATTGAAAAGAGTTCAGGAACATGCCACAGTGGTAATCCTGTGATCCAGCAGTATGCACGTATCTGTCACGTATGAAAATACAGCACACCCCAAGCCAGACTATTACTGTATTTATGATACCTGTTGACATAGTTGCATCCAAATAAGCAACATTAAAGATCTGATCTGCTAACAAATGTGTCTGTGAAATCCAATCAAGAAGTTCTCATCAATGGAATCAAAGGAATTTCAAAACCAAAAAAAGTTTCCAAGGAAAGAAAAGCAAAACCCTCTGTTGAAATATGCTGTCAGTTGTTAATGAAGTTCCATTAAAAGGTCCATATTCTGGTAAACATGTCAATTGATCGCTGGTTTTGTGCATGGCTGACTACAAATTTGAAAAATTGTGCCTTTTGTTGGGCTTTTTTTTACATCTAATTTTTCAGTGTGCCCAATTTAGCCTTTGAAAAACTGTTGTATTTTGAATCTTATAATTTACAATGTTATCCTCCAAAAATAGCCAAGGCGGCTATAATGGTTCCATTAAAAGGAAACCATAGGTAAGAGTGCTAGCGAGGCACTGCTGTAACCACAGACTTATTTTGGAAGGGTATCTATCTCCATTATTTGGTTCTGCCAAGAGGAGAGGTGGTTTGATATTTAACCTATTCATCCCTTCATTTCTCAGAAACCCTCAAATCTTACAGAATTTCAAGCATGTTCAAGAGCATCCTGCATGTGATTTGCCACCTCCGTTATTATTATTATTTCTGTGTTTCCTTGTTTCTCCTTTCCTCCCCACACTACCAGTTTCATTCAGAATTTTAGTGGGCATCTAATTTGTGCTCGCCACCGGGAATGTTATTTGCACCTTTGTTTTTATTCACGTGGCATTATTTGTCCATTATTTGTTACCTGTCTCAGAGCAGATAATTCATTCTTTCTGGAACTCACAGATAGATAGCCAGCCTGTTATGTGAAAAACTAGCCCTGTCCCAGATGATCTGTTTAAGATCTTCTGCCAGATGTATAGAGGCAACGCTTCTGTGCTCAATATACTGATAACTTTTTGCTGTTGTTCCTCCTTGTTGCTAAATGCCGACTCAGTTGGCCTAGGTGGTGGTGGTGGGGAGCTGTTTCTTAACCCATCAGAGCAAGTGAATCACGCAGAGCAGACAATAAACTTGCACTCAGGGTGAGTATCCTTTGTGTACTGCTACTAAAGCTAAGCACTTTGCAAACATGCATTAATATTCCAGACACACATGAAATAGGTAATAGCTTTCTCCATGTCACAGAAGAGGAAACACCATGCAAACTGGCCACAGTAATTTATGTAAAGCAATCGAGGGAGCAACTGTCAGCCAAGGGATTAAAAGGCAGGAATTTCTGGCTTCTGGCCATGTGCTGAGAACATCTTCTGCTATTTCTCTCCACTCCAGTCTCTGACACACAGTTGGGTTTAGGTATTTAAGCTGCAAAAAGGAATGAAATTCCTTTTCCTGTATAAGTAAAAAATTTTAAATGATCTAATTCCTTAATTGTGTAGAAGAATGGGTTGAATCTGCTACCTCCCCTGTGGCCGAGGCCTGTGCTGTGAAAAAACCTATTAAACAGCTGGTATCACTTTTTGTTTCCATGCCACTGGAGCAGCATTTTCCGCAAACCAGGTCATCGGGAGCGTGAAAGCAGACTTTATATTGTAAGCAAAAGCTCTACCATATGGTTGCTAATTCTGCGCAGATTGGATGGACTGCGAGCTCCACCAGCCCCAAGGGCACCACACCAGCCCTCTGACCTGCCCTAGCCTTACTCTTGTTGTGCTCTCCCTACGGTGTTTTGTTAAGCATGGCACTAACTGTGCCTGCTCACCTTTGGCTCAGAGCACCTTCCCAAGGTAACGCTGAAATCAACACAAAAGAGTCTGAAATTACAAATCTACTTGTCTTTTAGCAGGGCCACCCAGTCAATGCTGGAAATGGGTTTTGCTGTTCCTTTAACGCCCAGCGCTGTGCTGTGGTCTGCACCCTGACCACATCCCAGGGCCACACACGACCTGCAAACAGGTCACCAGTTGTCACTGCCCAGTGCTCTGCACATTCAGCAGCCTGTCACTTGGGTGGGGAGGGGATTCACCGGGTCTATTTATTGTTATAAATAAATATATGTTGCCATAATACTGCTATATTACATTGATATAATAGACATTTCAGAACTTTTTAATGGTTTTTTTGGGGGGCGAAGCTGTTAAGTTCAATGTCTCATATGACTCTTTTCAGAGAGAGAAAGGCTTGCTAACTAGGAAGCATAGCCCAGCTGAGGCTGAAGGTGTAAGATTGTTTTAATTTCTGATTTTAAATATGAAGACAGAGAGAATGAGGAAAAAGGGTGATACAATGCAGCAGAGAGTGACGGGTGAGGCTCCCTGCGAATCTACTTGAGTTACTACATGTTAAGTGTCAGTGTAACACCTTCAGAAGCATTCAGTTATCAAGGCATATATTGATGTTGTTTTGAGTAGCTCTCTTGATTTTCTTTATTAAAGCTGAGCACACAGAAAATTTGTGCAACGCACATTGAAAACCTTTTCCCTCGACTGAAAATGGAGCAGTTTCTTATTAAAAGGTCCCTGACAGTGTGCGTTACCAGAAAAAATACAGGTGCCACATCCAACCCTAGCGACCGATGATGCCTTTCCTAGTGTTCCCCCTAAAGACGTCTCGCATTTTGGTGATACCACGTGGCCCGTTGGTCCTTAATCTTTGGCAAACCATGTCTCTGCCTTCTCTTGCCATTCAGGGAAAGACATTACCCTCATTTTCCATCCACAAGTAGCGAACACCTGTTACACTTCACAAAGGCCTCTTAAGATAAAACCTGCTATTTAGGCATTAGATAGCCTAGTTAGCGGCTAATGCGCAGCATTTCCGCTGGCCTTTGAAATAGTAACGGGATGTTTTAGACACCCGCCTGACCAGGTCCCTCGTGATGAGGGCCGAGCCCTTGTACAGGGACTGAGCACAATGTCGTTACGCTGTGCAGAAACCCACGGGGAAGGCTTGTCCCTCCAGGCCTGCCGGGCCCTGCGAGGCTCCCCGGCTCTCCCCCGGCTCTCCCCGGCTCGTTCCCTTCCCTCCCTCACCTTGGCCTCCCGGTGGAAATAGCTGAGCTCCGGAGGCCCTTCCCGTCTGGCCGGGATGCAGCTGAAGG